TCTGATTTTTATAGGTCGGAGCACTTACGGCCAATCAACTTTCAGACTAAATGCCATCTTCACAGAAAGGCCCTTGAGGTTGCCTGAAGTTATCCACCTCTACTTTCCCAGGCACTCCTTGTACTCAGTTGCTAACTGAGCTTGGAAGTTTAAGCCCCCCTCTCACTCCCCTCAACACCCCAGAGGCATCTGGAGGAAAGAACTATTGAGCTACATCTGTAAAATCAGCCACTGAAAACTGTACGGAGCACAGTTCTACTTTGTCACACACTCCCCTTTTGAATGACGCTCCGTGTGTCTTGCTCTCCTCTATCCCCCTTGCGGTGATACAATAGCAGTCTTAGGCACATGCAGACACTCAACAGATACTTGCTAAGTGACTTCAGGGACATCGTGGGGCATGGTCAAATCATCTGGCTTACTTCACAGCGCCAGTAAACACAAGAGTAGTCATTGTAATCCAAGAATTCGTCCTTGGCATTGAGTTGGGTCATCTGAGGTATTAGTTGATAAGAAAGGTTGATAACGATCATAAGAGATCTCTGACTTTATATATATATATATATAATGGATCCATGGCATATGGGCTGTTAACCACAAGGACAGCAGTTCGAAACCACCACTCACTCCTCGGGAGAAAGATGGGGCTTTCTATTCCATAAAGTGTTACCGGCTTGAAAACCGACAGAGGCGCTTCTCTCCTGTCCCCTGGGGTTGCTCTGAGTTGGAATTGACTCAACGGCTGTGAGTGAGTGAGTGAGGTGACGTACCCTGTGAGAGCTGGAACTTGTTTTTCCGGGTCTGGCGAGTCTTCTGCCTTTGGCTGCAGTGTGCAGTGGGCAGTCTCACCACTTTCCCTCTGCTCTCTGTTGGTGGGAATATTCGAGTTTGTCTTCTCTGGCAAGGTTTCACCTTGCACAGCTTCTAGCTTCCTCAGGTTTTCCTGCATTTTTCAAACTGTCATCCTCTGGTGCACAGAGGAAGAGGCTATAGTCAATGTTCTGAAGAAGGAACGGTGTCTGCACATTTCTGGCAAGTTTATTCCCAAAGATTTGTTGGTTTTGGTGGATGTAATAAAGGAGAAGGAGCCCTGATGGTTATACATTGGGCTGCTAGCTGCAAGGTGGGCAGTTTGAAATCACCAGCCACCCCTACAGCGCTTTCGACTCCTGTAAAGAGTTACAGTCTCAGAAACTCACAGGAGCAGTTCGGCCTGGCCCTGCAGGGTCACTGTGCATCGAGATGGACTCCACGGCAGTGAATTTGGTTTTCTGGTTAATTGTCAATGGGAAGAAACTTGGTGGTGCAGTAGTCAAGCACCTGGCTGCTAATAGAAAGTACTTTAAACCCACCAGCCACTCCGTGAAAGAGATGTCAGCCTTGGGGACTCTAGGGAGTTGCTCTACGTGGCTGGGTAGGGTTGCTCTAAGTAGCCATTGGTTTTTGTTGTTGTTGTTTTTGATTTGGCATTGTGACTGATTACCGTTTGCATACAGCATTTGCATAGCATTATGAGTTGAACTGCGACCTGATCCCTGTACCTGTGAATGTGACCTTTATGAAAATAGGGTCTTTGCTAATGTATTCATGTTCAGGTGAGGTCACACTGGGTGAGGGTGAGTCCTAAGTCAATGATTGGCCTTCTCATAAGAGGACATTTGAACCCAGATACACAAAGATGTGACAATGGAGGCAGAGACTGAAGAACACCAAGGATTGTGGGAAACCACTAGACGCTAGAAGAGAGACATGGCCCGGTCATTTGGCGTCCTTCGGAAGGAAACAACCTTGCTGACATCTTGACTTTGGATGTCTAACTTCCAGGACTATGAAAGAAGACATGCCACTCTTTGTTCAGCCACCTGACTTTGGTACGGTATAAAATGAACACGGATACCATCCTTTGAGGCCTTTACATAGCTGGCCAGTTCCTTAAAAAGCTGATCCTGCATTAGCAATTTGACATCAAAAAGCAAATCCAAGAGCTCAGGACACACTGAATCCAGGGCAGATAAACCCCTGGGGAACAGAAATGGGAGTAGCGATGCCAGGAGGGTGAGGGGGACGGTGGGGAGAGGTGGGGGGAAGAAACCTCAGGGGAAGGGAGGCAGCAGTTGATGTAAGATACGAAAATAATAATAATTTATAATTTATCAAGGGGTCATGAGGGTGGGAGGGAGAGAGAGGGGAAAAAGAGGAGCTGATACCAAGGGTTCAAATAGAATGTAAATGTTTAGAAAAGAATGATGGCAACCTATGTACAAATATGCGTGATACAATTGATGTATGGATTGTCATAAGAGCTGTAAGAACCCCCAATAAAATGATCTTAAAAAAAAAAAGCAAAGCCAATGCAAAGGCAGTTTTCAGCCTCCTTCCCAAGCTCTTCTAGCTTTCATGGAAGGCACTGACCTCATATGACTGTATCCCACGGGGTGTGGTCAAAGGAAAGTCTGCTAGGGCATCCAGGAATTTCTTGGAGGTGTCAGGATATCCACTGGGGTCCTGAAGGAAAGAGGCCTTTATTATTTTCATGCTCGCTGTTAGGTGTGACAATATATTTGACTGACATAAAACACACATTTAAAAATCTATATTTCGGTGTGGAATTCACACCTTAATTTCCATTGCTTTGAGGATGTCTACATGCATTAGGAGCGCTCTCTGGGTTTCAGACCTAAAGGATCTCAAATATTTACTTGAAAAGCAGCACAGGGGTCAGCACTTGAGACCCCCCGCCCCGGGAATCCTAAAGACAAAGTCCTCTTTACTCTCATCTTTAACTGCTGCAAGACATCTAAATAGAATTTGAAGAGGAAACTGATCATGAGTGTTCTTCGGAATTCCACCATTCCTCCCGGGGCGGAGTCTGGAAGGGTGACTTCGTCTAGAACAAGCCTGCAGGCATCACTGAGCATCCTCTCATCCCAGCACCTAGAGAGGAAGCAGAACCCCAACCAGGTTGGTACAGCCAGGTGTAAACAGGTGTGTGTTCTCTTGTAGAAAAGTAATTTTGAACTGAAGAATGAAGGTTCATAAAATTCCCTTTCTTACACAGCAATATCATCACACAATATCATTATGTACACTGCTTTACTTAAAATCTTGCCATTAATAATCATGCACACTTGTAGAATGCTCTGGTCTTATAGAGAAGAGCTATAGCGCCCTTCCTTTGACAGCAATGACAATTGTCATCATTCAAGAAGTACATACACGTTATGTGGTACACTGTCCCACTCTTATAATTCACCTTCCAATAAGCTGCCGGCAGGACTTAGTTGCACTGCGTGTGGTCGGTCCAACTCCTCCATAGAAGATGCTGAGGTCTGCAATGGTGTGTGTGCCATCTTTGAAGAGGACCCGCATGCCAGCATTCACGGTGGCAAGGGCATTTTGTTGACGTGGGGCCTGCCTGAAAGCTGACACAAACGCCCACTGGAAGGTAACAAGGACATGTTTGAAAATGAGCACACCTATGGAACTATCGCAAGGAGGGTGCAATGAATTCCTATACTCTGGTGGTTACAATAGGACCACAGCTGCTCACTCTCTGTAGTTAGACACACACACACACACACACACACACACTCATGGTTCTATGCCATGATGCCATTGCACACCTAAATATGTCTGCATGTAGCTCATAGCATTTCTCCTATATAACTACAACGTCATTTTCAAGATCAGGAGGCTTAACCTGGATACAATACTATTATTTTAAGAAGCAGTTCATGTTCAAATTTCTCAGATTGCACCAAAAATTTAAAGGGAGGGAGCCTTTCTCACCCACTGGGAGAAAGATGAGGCACCGTACACCAGGAAAGGTTGGTCATCGCAGAACTCCGCACAGCAGCAGCCCGACTCTCTGCTTTGGGGCCGCTGTGAGGTGGCCCCAACATGATGGCAGAGAGCGTTTCGTTTATCGTTTATCGCCCACACGGCTCTCCTGCCGAGTGAGCTCCAGTGAAGGAAGAAGCAGCCTGCACGCAGTGTCGTCTTCACAGTTCTTGGTCTCCTTTCTTCTAGAAGAGCCTCTCAGCCGCCTCTCGCCCCACTCTCCTTTCTTTTTGTTGAGGTTGACATTTGCGGTGATTCACAGACCAGTTATTTTGCAGATTGTCCCTCACTGGGGCTCATCTGATCATTTGCTCATGAGTTGATTCCGGTCACGCTTAAGCTTTGGGAGTAGCAAGAACACAACGCAGATGATGTTGTCTAGGACCGGTTGCTTTATTTCCTTCAAACTACTCCAGTCACCCTCACGAATGCCTTTTCCCATCTCCTCCGACAACACTTTTGTGGAGTCGTGAAAGCCTATGAGTAGATTCAGACTCAGAGCAATCCTATAGGTCAAGCACAACTCCCCTCCTTGGGTTTTGGAGGCTGTAAATCTTGAAAGAAGCAGAAAGCCGATCTTTCTCCCAAAGAGCAGCTGGGGGGATTGAACTGTACTTCAATACGTAATGAACTCACGATGTGACCAGGATTCTCCGAATAAAAACAGCTCATTTGAACCCAGCCCATCTTGTACCCAAAGTGAGAATCATACCCCTAGACCAAGTCATAGCACCCCTGAACTAACCAGTGGAGATGGTGTGTGCTGACTTCTGCTGATCAAGAGTAAGTTAACAATGGGAGTCTTCATTTAACGTTATTCTTCCCATAATTTCATCAAAGGTTTATCTGAGTTTTAGCATAAAATTTACACGATCAACACTGGAGGGCACCCAGGACTCCTTGGGTGGCACCTATGGTTACCTCTACACTGCTAACCTGGGCTGGTAGTTTAAAATCTATCCAGAAGCACGTCAGAAAAAGTGCTTGGTGATCTACATCCAAAAAACACCAGTGCCTGAAAGCCCTATGGAGCAGAGTCCTCCGCAGACACAGCTGGGGCCACTGTCAGGGGTTATTGATGCCACAGCAATGGCTTTTTGTTTTGGAAGACATCCAGAAATATTTTTGGTAAATGATGGTGGTCATTTATTTGTAGTCCTATGGTACTTGGTAGAATTTCATAAAGATTGAGTGAGTACATTATATTATAAGGTGCCCTGGTGGCACTCTGAGGTAGGCACTGAAGTGCTAACCACAGGGTTGGTAGTTCAAACCCAGCAGCTGCTCTGTGACAGAAAGATGAGGCCGGCTGCTCCCATGAAGAGTCATAGATTCTTTGGACACCTAGTCATTGGACACCCTTCACAGTGTTGCTATGAGCCAGAATCTAGCCGATGGCCGTGGGGGAGGGGGTATATTACATCACAGGGAGGTGTGAATGAAATGGGAGTACTGCTCTTCTGTGTTCCAGCAACGGTGACTGGTTTTGTTGGTGGAACTGGTCTGAGGCTCCAGAACTGAGTTGCCATAGTAACAGCCACATGTGTTCATGCTTCTCTGTTTGGCATATGGATATTACTGTGAAACATAAAGCAAGCCTAGTCCGTGTGTTTGGACCTCTTTTCACCCATGCAATAAGGTTATTGGCCTGTTTCAGTCATGTGCTGTGTGAATCCAAGGATCCTAGGTTTTTAGCTTTCCAAGAAATATATCCATATAAATCAATGTCTTCATGCTCTCTAATGAAGCAGATGAATATCTAACCTGGTATTTACACCCAGGCATGTACGAAATGTTGGCTGAAAGCTCTACTTTCTTATACGAGGGGGTACCCAACAAAAAACGGAATTTTTTTCCAAAGCTATGTACTTCTTTTTTTTTTTTTTAAACAAAACAACTTTATCATCTTCAAAGTACTCTCCATTACACTTTATACATTTGCCAAATCTGTGATTCAGTTCTTGGGAACATTTTTGAAACTCATCTGTTTGGATGGCTGACAGCACCTCCTTTGTTTTTTTCTTCCCCTCTTCTACATTGTCAAGTTGCTGTCCTTTTATTCCCTGTCTTCATTCAAGAAAACAAAAAGAAATTGCATGGAGTGCGGTCAGGTGAGTAAGGTGTGTGGGGAAAGAGAGGCATGCTGCTTTTTGTCAACAACTGGTGCACTGAGGTGGCTGCATGAGCAGATGCATTGTCGTGATGGCAAAACCAGTCCCCCATCTGCCACAAATCAGGTCTTTTTTGTTGCACACCATTATGCAATCTTTTCAGAACCTCTAAAGGGAAAAGTTGATTAACAGTCTGACCTGGTGGGACGAATTCCAAAGGCACTGCAAGTGGACATTTTCATCTGTTCTGGAAGCTGACAGATGTTCAGAATGAAATTTGTCATCAATTGACATTTCACCTTTTTTGACATAAGAAAACCACTCATACACTTGAGTTTTGCCCATAGGGCTAACCTTATAAGCTGTGTTCAACATCACAACAGTTTCTGCAGCATTTTTCCTGAGCTGGAAACAAAATTTCACACCTGCACGCTATTCTCTTAAATCGGCCATCACACACACACACACACAAAATGAGATTTGAGTGACATTGCTTTTATGAAAAAATTCACTCTGCCCAGAGAGAACCTTCCAGGGGACGCCACTGGGGGTGCTAACTCAGAGCGAGTTGCTCAGTGCTCCCCTAGAGGCAAAAAGGCATACTGTGAAAACTCAACTCAGCGGAGTTTTTCCCATTTGGGGGGAGTACCCCCTCATGGGTCATTTACTCCATCATAAGAATAAAGCAACTAGCCACATGAAGACTAGAAGCAGTGTCACTGTAGAGATTGCTGACTTGGTGAATATTTGCTTGTGTGTATTTTCACCACAATAAATCAATAACACAACTATTAGACAGGGAAAAGTAGATAGCCTGAAGTTGATCATCTCATACCTTTTCCGAGACAGGAATAAAGACAGAAACTAAGACTTGCTCCGGTTTAAGGTTTGCATCTCCAGCAAGAAAATGACTGTTTAAAGGAATGTGCTGTGTTCCCTCTGGAAGGAAAGAGAAATCCTTTCATTTGACTCGGCAAACTTTCTATGTGACAACATCCAGAAGTGCTCTGCCGATGACAACCGGCTAAAGTGAAACTGAGTCAGGGTCTGGAAAGAACAGAGACTCCAGATGTAAGCGCCACTCAGACATGTTGGGATCCTGCCTGGGGTTCGGGGGCAAACCCATCTTCGGCCTGTGCTACCACAGGAGACCTCCTCTGGCTTGCAGGAGACAGCGCACCAAGGCTGCAGAGGGGCAGGTCTGGGGGCCAACCATCTGAACCTGTGAGATCGCGGGCTGACAATAACAGACAGGTGCGTGTGGGTGAGCTGGAAGAGCTGCAAGGTCAGGAGTGGGATGGTGGTAAACATGGCTATAGTTCACACGAGAGCAATGACATCGATGAATGAAATACCCGTGACAACAGCAACACCAGTGAGCGAAACACAGCTATGAAAGTCATGTGATTCCTTTGAACGAAATTCCTGAACACACAGACGTACAAGTAAGTGGCGTTCCCCTTGAAGTGGTCCCCTTGGGAGAGATTCTACATTCATGTCAATAATGCTGCCCTCCTCAAGACATTTTTGGGACTTTCAGAGGGGGTGGTCCTTACAAAGCCCATGGCCTCCGTGGTGAAAAATCCTGATCCTTGGCAGGTGGGTTTGATTTGTGGTGCAAGGTCAGAAATATTCAGAAGCCAGCGTGAAGGATAAGGCACAGGGTCGAATTGGTTGGTGCTCTTTTGAGTCAAATGTCAAGTGCAAAGGAGATGGATTTTTCTTGTGTAGCTTGCAAACCCAGAGATGCTCTGCTTGTCTTTCATTTCAACACACCAGGGCTACTTTCCAAGCCTAGTCCTGCTAGGACTTCCCTTTCAAGCAAATTTGCCTGACAAGGTCAGTATGGAGTGAGATGCTTTATAGAAAGGAGGCCCATGATACCATGTAAGATATATTATGAGCCTTAATAGGTCTCTTAGAGATTCCATGTGATTATAAAAGTTATAAAATGTACTCAAGTGCACTCTGAATGGTACAAAGAGTTCACATGCTCGCTGCTAACGGGGAAGGTTGATAGTCAAGCGCCCCCAGAGGCACCTTGGGAGAAAGGCTGGCCATTCTACTTCCCAAAAAGCAGTCTTCAAAAATCCGATGCAACACAGTTCTACTCTGACAACCTGAAGTCTCTAAGGGTCAGAATTGACTGACGGTAACTGGTGCTGGTATTGGTCTGCCTATTCAAAATGAAAATGATCTCTTCAGGTTCAAAATCTATAAATCCATGGCAAAAATAATTCATGAAGCTCTTAAGATACATCCTGCCTCTAACATAAACTACGCTCTAGTACACTGTAGCCTTGACATGGGACACGAATCACAAGTTTATTTCAATTACAAGTGTTTTATCTACTGATAATGACTAGATCAGAAGAAACACAAGTCGAGGAGCTCTCACTATTGTTTCCTCATCACCTGGCGTGTTTCCTTTCTACCTACTGGCCTCACGGTCTGTGTATATACAGTTAGCGCTCGATCCAGGACCTTACATGAGGAGTTCATGTGGCCCACCCATTCTTGGTGTGCTGTGTTTATACAATGGATCAACATCAGTAGTTACGAAGGAATTCAGTAACTCACCTATTGAAGCAATGTTGAGGATGCAATGGCCTACACCCAAAATGGGGTTGAGATCAGAAGTTGTAAGTCTGCTCACAATATGACCGCCTAAGGACTAAAGCAAAGAGAAATGAGCAGCCCAGGGCTTTTCCCATGGGGAATGCTGAATTAGGTAGACCATGATGCTTCCACATAAGTCTAACTAGGCAATTAGAATCCTAAAATGTGGGCATGGATGTGAAATTCTTGTGCATATTCTAGAATATTTTAGAGGCATTTTGGCAGAGTGGTGACTCGCTGGGCTGTGACCCATAGGGTCAGCAGTTCAAAACCACCAGTCAGCTCTGTGGGAAAAAGACGGCCTTGTACTCCTCTAAACATTTACCGTCTCAGAAACTCACGGAGGGGCAGTTCTACCCGCTCCGATAGGCTTTGCTCTGAGTCGGCACCGACTTGGTGGCAGAGTTTGGTTTGGGTTTTATTCCCTTTCCGTCTTTACAAAGCAGAAACTATGGAGACCAATAGTGAAACATACCTCGATGCCACTACTTCTAGTTTCTGACTTTGCAAGTTCTGAAATTAAGTTAAAGGGAATAACTTTGGGTATGTGCAGCTTGAACAGTGGGGGTGGGGGGGGGAGGCATGGCTGTTTTATGTTTTAAATAGCATCCATTGGCTGCACACAGAGCTGACAGGCAAAGCAAACTTCTCAAGGGAGGCAGGCAGAGGAGAGCTGTCCTGTGGACAAGACACAAAGTCAGCGGAGGTAGGTTCCTTATCTGAAGGGCTGCCTTGGAGGATGGGATTGTAGACAGCATGCCTGAGATCGCCTTCATTGGTTCAAAGCCCTCCTATACAAATGCAACCATGCCATGTGAACTTCACAGGATCCAAAGGAGGCCAGCAGAAACAGCAAGTCACACTCACCACAAAAGGACCATCCTGACAGTGAAAGCCCAACAATTCTTTCACACAGAGGGACTGAGGGCTAACAAGGATCACTCTGCTTCATGTTATCATTTACAGTGATTTATAAGTTTGTTATAGCTTATAGATCTTTGTTAGATAGGATAACTGTTATGCTATAAAGTTATTTTAGTGGCCTGAGTAAGTTGGGTTGTATTCATTTCTATGTATTACAAGGTCAGTTATTCTACCATGAACATAACTTTTATCTTTAGAAGGTAATACATTCAAGGACTTTAATTTATGAATTAAGTTTAGAAATTAAAAGATTAAATAAAACGAGTTAATTTAAATCTGGGTACTGTTGAATGACAGATGGCAACTCACGATCCTGCACTCAACAGAACACTGCCTGATCTCAGACCTCCTTGTGGTTGTTATGTGTGAACCCATTGCATTGGCCTGAAGAGATCTTTGAGGGACAATTACAATGGGAATCCTGGGAATCCTGGGATCGCTGGTGGACACACCATGCAGCATCTCCCCTTCAAATACTCTCCATGCTCACGCACATGGTGCATGCTTCCAGGATCTGAAATGAGGCAATCCACTCCGTCCAGGCCCAGGACCATGCGGAGCCCGTGTGAGGGAACAGCACCGACATGGGGCGACGCAGCTTTCCTCCCTGAAGTGAGGCCCGCACCCAGAGAGCAGGCGCAGGAGTGAGCTTACTGCCAGGTTTCGGATCTGTTGTCCAGCCAGGGTGCTCAGGTGTTTCAGAAGAGCACGGTAGGTCTGGGTCCTCTCCTCTGGGAGCTTCCACACCACATCAGCCAAGATGTCCTTCACTCGGGCCAGGCTGAGGCCGGCCCCTAAGGTAAGCCCTGGAAACAAGGCATCTGTGTTAATATTCTGCAAACTGGAAAGGAAGAAGACACTGAAGTAAGAAACCAAGCAAATGAATTGCCAGCGAGTTGGTTCCAACTCAGAGCCACCATAGAGGAGAACTGCCCCTGTAGGGCTCTGAGGCCACCCTTGTCATGTGCGCAGCGGACAGCACATCCTTCTCCAGTGGCGTGCTTGGGGGTGAGCATCGCCAACCTTTGGCTTAGCAGCTGAGGGAGTCACCGCTGTGTCACCAGGGCTCCTTAGGAAGTTCATGTTGTCGATAGGTACAGTGCGCTCGATTCTGACTCACAGCGCCCCAGCCATGCTCACCTTGCTTTGTCTGAGCCCGCTGCTGCAGCCCCTGTATCCATCCATCTGGACAGGGTTTCCCACCTCTCTGTGGCCCTCCCCTTTACCAAGCATGACGTCCTTCCCCAGGGATTTGTCTGTCCTGATAATATGTCCACTGTACATGAAGAGAAGTTTCACCATCTTCCATGCTAAGGAACATTCTAGCTGAACTTCTTCGACGACAGATTTGTTTGTTTTTCTGACAGTCCATGGTTCTTTCAGGGTTCTTTGCTAACGCCCTAAACCAAACGCACCCAGTCTTCCTTAGTCTTAGTCCAGTGTTCATAAGCATAGGAGGGGACTGAACATGCCCCGGTTGAGTTAGCTAGACCTTAGTCCACAGAGTGCTCTTGCACACCTCAAAGAGGTCGTTTCCAGCAGATTTGCCCAGTGCACTAAGGTGTTTGCTTTCTTGGCTGCGGCTTCCACGATGCTTGGTGCAGCAGTGAAGAAGAGGACGCCGCTGGCCAGGCCGTGGCACCCGAGGCTCAAACATAAGCACCATTGTGAGCACAGCGCATCACCGGGCGGCGTTTCATTCCGCTCCACTGCAGCATGGAGCCACGAGGACGCAGAACCAACTTGTCGACGGCACCTCAAAACAAGGACCCCCTTGAATGAGCACGGGCTGTGGATCCAAGTCAAACGAATCCTAAGAACCGCACGCTCCTCTCTGGGTAGAAGGATGCTGCCCGTTGCGAGGCTTTGTGTTTTCTTCCTGTTAAGTCCTAATGCACACTGAGCATGGAGTCTTTGACCTTCACCAGGGAGCAAGCAAGGTGGGTCGCTGCGGGTCACAGGTTGTGAGTGAGCCCTCCTCCCACCCCGTCCCATCCCAGCGCCGCGGTTCTTTCTCGCGGAAGAACTCGGCTTCAGCAAAAACCATTCGTGGCTGGAAAGTCCTTGTCCCCGTCCACCAAGATTCCCTTTTCCCGGACGAGCCAATTCACCCATGTCCACGGTAGCGCCTCTTGCAAAGACTAATAGCAAAAAGAATAATTTTTAAAAGCTCCGGATTCCCGCAAAACGATCAAAAAAGAGTTAGCATTGACCGCAGCAACTCAAAGATTCGGTAGACCATGTAGGGGGAGGTGAACTCATGACGTCGGGAGCGAAATGACGCGGAACGGAAGAGCGGGAAAGTTAGCACCCCTGAAGCACCTCATCAATGGCACCGAAGTGCACGTGTGCAGTGGCGTGTTCAGTTGTGCTGAATATCGTCTCAACCCCAGCATGACCAGGGGGGAACCAGTCATTGCTCTCCGCGCCATCTCAACCTGGACCTGGCTGCCCCTCACCCTTCCCGCGAAGCGAAGCTCGCCAAGGCCTCCCCTTTTCCCCATTAAGTTCCAATGAGCGGGTGGTGCAGGGGTTACACTGCTAACTGAAAGGCCCATGGTTCAAAACCACCCGCCTCTCCTAGGAGAAAGACAGGACTGGCTACTCCCACAGCGAGTGACAGTCTCAGAAACGCACAGAGGCAGGGCTACCCTGTCCCTCAGAGTCGGCAGGGTTGTTCGGCAGCGAGGACGCTTTGGGTTGCTCACTTGCTAAGCGCAAGTTTCGCGGTTTGAGATCACCAGCCACTCTGAGGGAGAAAGATGAGGCTTTCTACTCCCCTGACGATGGACAGCCTCGAAACCCACAGGGTGGTTCTGCACTGCCCTTTATGGGGTTTGTAAGAGTGAGGGTCGACTTGATGGCAGTGCATTTGGTTTAACTCCCTATTATCTGCTCTTCTAGGATCCTGGGGCTGTCCTTCTTAGCACAATCGGAATCGGACTCTTTATTTGGGTGATTATTTGGCATCTATCTTCAGCATCAGATTGTGAGCTTCATAAGGAAGAATCCAGGCTGTGTGTGTGTGTGTGTGTGTGTGTGTGTTAAAAACAAAACAAAACATTGTATCCCCAGTGCCTGTGTCCTTGTTGAACTTGTCTAAATCCTCCCATCTTGAATCTTATCCTTATTTTGTCATGTTGTTCTCTCATTTCCTACTAAGTGGGTATCCCACCTAGGGGCCCTGGTGATGACCTGGTTACAGCACAGGCTTGAGAGTAAAACACGTTGATGGTTTGAGCCCATTAGCTACTCCGTAGGAAAGCGATACCGCAGTCTGCTTGTGTAGGGATCTCAGGCCTATCGATGCTGTGAGACACACCCTCCTGCAATCTAGAAGTCACGGTCTCTAAGTAGATGCTTGGAGAGGTGCACAGACTGAATAGGCATGGAGGGAGAATTGCAGGACACTCACAAAAAGATATAGATCTCACAGAGGATATTTGTTTATGTCTATTTACTTTTGCTGCAATTATACTCATGAATGTGGTAAAGCACACAGGGGGAAAAGCTATGAAAACTTTTCAGATGTAACCAAGCACTCTCAAATAAGGAGTTACTGGGCAGGGAGGGGACACCAAATTTCAAGGTCGATGGACACCTAACATAGTCTCAGGGGGACACCAAGCTCAATTGACATGACAAAGTTCACAAAAATATGATGTTCTACCCTCTCCTTTGGTGGGTAGTAACTAGAGTCTTCCAAGTGCACGGACCACTCTCTAAGGTGCAAATCCTGGTGTCTCCCCATTCAGAGGAAAGGAGAATTGTGGAACTGGAAAGACACAGTGGACTAGTGGGTCCTTAAAACATCAGAAGACCAGAAGATGCTGAGGCCGGAAGAACGCGCTGCTGCTTGGTTACCAACTGCTCTCACAGGGATCACAATAGAAAGAGAGAGAAATATAGGGGGGAAAACCCCAAATCATAAAAAAGACCGTATTGACTGGGTTGAGACTAGTGGAACGCCCAAGACTACTGCTCTCAGTCACCCTTCAGGTCTAAAACCGACCTCAGACCCATGTTAGAATTTCAGGCACTTAAGAGCAAAAGGGCAGCATTTCTCCAAGGATGAAGCCGAGAGAGTTAGGGAAAGGGGCAGGGAAGTGGGACGGGCAATGTGCATTAAGGGATTGCCACGGTTGGGGAGAAACAACATGTGTATGGATTATTGAAGTAAAACGATGTAAAACCAATGATCTACTCCTTCACCTAATTCACAATAAAAAGTTTTTTGTTTTTTTTTAAAGAATGTTATCCATCCCCTTACAGAAGGTTGCAGAGAGGAGACTAGCCAGTCAGGGTGCAGTATAGCAATGATGAAACATACAACTTTCCTCTAGTTCTTTAATGCTTCCTCCCCACCACTATCATGATCCCGATTCTGCCTTACAAATCTGGCTAGACCAAAGGATGTACACTGGTACAGATAGGAACTGGGAAACACAGGGAATCCAGGACAGATGACCCCTTCAGGACCAGTGGTGAGAGTGGTGATAACAGGAGAGTGAAGGGAGAGTGAGGTGGAAAGGGGGGACCGATGACAAGGATCTACATATAACCTCCTCCGTAGGGGGCAGACAACAGAAAAGTGAGTGAAGGGAGACATTGGACAGTATAAGATATGACAAAATAATAATTTTTTAATTGTCAAGGGTTCATGAGGGAGAGGGAGCGGGGAGGGAGGGGAAAATGAGGACTGATACCAAGGCCTCAAGTAGAAAGCAAATGTTTTGAGAATGATGATGGCAACAAATGTACAAATGTGGTGGACACAGTGGATGTATGTGTGGATTATGATAAGAGTTGTATGAGGCTCCAATAAAGTGATGTAAAAAAATGTCATCCTTGGAAACCCTATGGGGCAGCTCTCCTCTGCTTGGAGTTAGAATTGACTCAGTAACGACATGTCTGGTTTGTGTATCCAATTCCTCATCATCAGCACTCAACACAACCCCCTGAGTGACCCTCCAAGTAGATGCCAAGTCCACTGTGTGCCGGGCAAGGTTCTAAGGCAAAAAGTGCAGACAGGCTCTCCCAGGAAGCCAGTGGTCTAGCAGGAGAGGACAACTAGACTGGGATCAATGAGCAAGTTTGTGACGTGACGTCAGAGGTGGTAAAGCTTCCCAGTAACTCCAGGGCCAGCTCGGTGGCTACAAAGCAGTGTGGTGTCTAAAGACAGTGTTTAGGGAATCTTTCCGGGAAATCAAACATTTCCACCTTAAAGTTACATGTTTTGTGAGTTGTTTTTTTTAAAAAAGCATTAAAAATATATATTGAATTCACAATTTCTACTGTTAGGAAGGACTTCACGGTGTGGTAGGCGATCCACGGATGTTTTTGTTTGTTGTGCCTTCACGCGCCAGCAGAGGGAGCGCGTGCTCTGACTTTGGGAAGTTGGATAGAAAGCAAACCCACTGAAAAGCCCAGCTCCCGCCATGGAACCGATTCTGCCTCCCAGGGAGCCTGTGGGGCAGGATGGAACTGCTCCCATGGGTTTCTGAGCTAGTAAGACTTTACGGGAGTATAAAGCCTCTTCTTTCTCCCAACAGAAAGTAAAACTTTGGTTCCACACAAACACAGAAAGCCTGAAGTAATCTTGCAGTTCTCATTTAATAAGGTTTCCCTCCAGTACGTCTTGGAGCTGAGACCATTTTGGTTAAGGAAGCTGGATTTTCATGTGTGTAAGGAAGTGTAACCAGATGAATTCAGCTTGGGCAGACTTTTCTGTGCTTCGTACGCCGTGCTTGGGTATAATAAGCTAAGTTAGAGCAGCTCAGAAACCCAAGGATTCCTCTAGAACAGAGACAGCTGACCACATGCCCCCCTCTCTAGACTTTTCCTGTTGCACTTTGAACTCAGGACTTAAGTGTATTTGACGTGTTACATCATATCCCTGTGGCCTAACATTGGACATTTGTAAGCAGGGGTCTCTGCCCTTTGAAGCTTTAAAACAAACATTTATCCAGACTTCAAAGGCGGCTTACTACAAGCTGTTCCAAGTTCAAAGGTAAAGTAGTTAGATGTCGAAGTGAGTTTCTGGGTGAATCCACAAACATTTGCTGAGCTCCAGATGTGTGTCGAAAATCAATCCTCCAGGGAATGGGCGTTCATCTTTACTCGAGCTTTCTGAATTTAGGAGAACATCCTTTCAAAAGATCGCATACAACCCACATTACAGTGGAAGTAAGGATCATATGATTTCCCCTGCTCCTGAGCCTGTGGCTTGGCTTGGGTCAAGTAGCCTTGGCTTTCTCTAGCAGAACCGCCTCCAACCCCAGGACCCCCTTATGATAAAGGAGAACCCACCTTCTTCAGTGGTTGCCACGACAAACAGTTCCAGAGTCCTTGCAGGAGAGAGGATCACTGGATGGACAACTTCTCTGAACTTCATATCAGGCCCTAAACAGTAGAGATATCATCATTAGTGAGAAAGAAAACTCAAACCAAGCTCACTGCCATCGAGTCAATGGTGGCTCATAGCGACCCTAGAAGACAGGGGAGAACTGGCCCTGTGGGTTTCCAAAACTGTGACTCTTTGCAGGAGTAGAAAACCTCACCTCTCTCTCTCAGAGCTGCCTGGTGGTTTCAAAGTGCTGACCTTGCAGTTAGCCGCCTGCTATATAAGCACCAGGGCTCCTGGAGAGAAAGAAGCTATCTAGATTGCTGTTTACAAATAACACGATGAATGAGAGGCTGTTAAAGGCTAATAAATTAAACTAAACTAACCCAATGGTGTTGGGTCGCCCTATAGGACAGGCAGAATTGCCCCATAGGGTTTCTGAGGCCGTAAATCGTTATGGACGCAGATAGCCCCATCTAGTGGACCTTTTGGTGCAGCTGAACGCTTTAACACTGTGCCACCTGGGCTCCTCATGAGCCTAATAAACAAACAGGGAAAAAACAGAAACTTGGACAGAAGAGGCTTGCTTTTCTCCTCTGTAATTTCCTTGATATTTGAAATGAGTCTGACACAATGAGTAAATCTCTCTATAGAACCTTTATTATGAGCGAATCGAAGGAGAGACACATCTGTTTTACTGTACACTAATGCCTACAAGAATGGAAACTAACCCAGAAATGCCCAGCTGTATTCAAGAGTTGTACAACCCACTGCCACTGAGTGGACTCTGGACCAAAGGGACCTGTTGGTCAGAGTAGCAGTGCCTCCTGTGGGCTTCCGAGACTGTACATCTTTATGGGAACAGAAAGCTCCAGTTTCCTCTTGAACAGTGGCTGGTGGGTTCAAACTGCTTACCTTATGGTCAGCAGCCCGATGAGTAACCACTAGGCCACCAGGGTTCCATCAAGTTGTTTAGGGGGAGGCCAAATTGTTCTTTAGGGACCAGAGAGATTAATGGTACAGCAAGCTGCCTATCAAGTGGGTGAGCCGGGTGAGTTTGAGCCTCCGATGTGCACTTTGACTGGTGAGCAGAAGCACAGGGCTCATCTCCGTGCCCTGACTTGGATTTTCCCCTAAGACGTGGACAGTGTGGCCTCTTCACTACTCACCGACACACGTGTTCCCCACCACGAGAGGGGCTTTGGGATACTTCTTTTTCAGCCCCAGAAGGTCGTTCAGAGTTCCCGGGGTGATCCAGGTAGTCCTTTCCCCATGGAAAGTCAGGACTTTCTTTTGGGGCTCTTCTGCCATTCTCTGCGGTAGAACACGGCACGTTTTATGTGGATGATGGTGAAGAACCCCTAGAACTTATTACAGCTCATAAGCAGAGACAAAAGGACTGGAACACACATTTGGAATGCAGACCTAATCAATTAATAATTAAACTCACTGTCTTGCATATTGTTTTCCCATCTCTTACAGCTTAAAAGGAACTAAGTGAATTTTAATTAAATCGGAATTTACAAATAAGCACGAATCTTCTGTACTAGGATGAAATTTCTAACAGCCAATACCCAAAGGCAGAGAAAATCGTTGACTACGTTTCAAATCACGATAAGAGTATCAACCAAGAATTAACTCTGTGTGCACTGGAGTGTGCGCGCTCTTTCTTATCAGGCGCACTTACAGAGTAGGGAAGCCAGGAGAGAAGAGTACACCAGGAGCATATCAGGGGATAGGGAGCCAGGTTGTAAGGCCAGTCTTGCCTCTAGATAGCTGGATGGATTCAGGCAAACCTGAGGACTCTGAGTTTGGCTTGACTCTATCTACTAATCAGAGACTGGGCTAGGCACGGTGGTGCAGGAAGCTCTTTGGACTCTAAGAGGCCAGACTTGTATGGGCTATGGTGGAGTGTTTTGCTGATGAGCAGAAGTTTGGCAAAAGCTCAGAAAGCCAGAGTTTTTAAAGGCAACGGGGACCTTCCTCTCTGTTTCCTGAGCAAAGCTGAAAGGATTCACAATGACAAGCAGGGCTTTTCTCATTTAGCACAAGTAGCTCATGAACAAATTAACTCCCTGCCTCCCACCCCCACCCCGCCCCATCTATCTCTCTAGAGCCAATGACACTGCAGGTGAAAACTGGATAAATAGACTGATAAGCTATTTATCAGGGGGGAAATAAAGCTAAAACCCTCCCTGTCACTGAGTCAATTCTATAGTGACTCTATCGGAGAGCGTATAACTGTCCCTTTAAGTTTCAGAGATGATAATTCTTTACAGGAGTAGAAAGCCTCAACTTTCTCCGGTGGAGCAGTTGATGGTTTTGAACTGCTGACCTTGAAGTTAGCAGCCCAATATTTAACTCACTATGCCACCAGGGCACAGAGACCCAAATGGACAGATAGAAAATAACTATTCATGAGGCTAATTTGCAAATAGTTGACCATGCTTAACTGTGTGGCCTTTCTCCTTACTTCTTTATTGTTTTCTTAATGGACGACTCCTACTTTTGACTCAGTGTATGATCTTATGATATAGTTATATTTTCTAAGGCTAAAATTGTTCATAACTCCCAATCAGGGTAATCAAACACACCATTATTTTTATGGTATTCCGCTATATATATATATATGGCATTCAAGAAAAAGCTCTTGATCTTCAATTGTCTGTTCACATGAGTAAGTATGAGAGCCACTAACCTAGTCTGAGGGAGGAAGAGCGTGGGGCCCAGAGAGCGGAAGTGACGTAGTCAAGACGGCAGGCCTGGCCAAGAGGAACAGGCCCAGGCATCTAGAGGCCCGGGCTCCTGGCCCAGAGTCCTCTGAAGCAGACAGCGTTTCATGCATCTGGGAGACATGTGGTTTTGATACTTTCTGCTGGTTAATCATAAACAGGGAAATGATTCCCCAAGTGGGACCTGAATCATTTAGTATAATTCAAGCTCAATTTGAAGCTAAAGTTAGCCTTGCAGAAATATTGCGTGCAGCACAATTTTGTTCTTTGTGAGAGCCATCAAAAGGGTCAATCTTGTGGTAGAATTGCTAGGTTTTTAGAAGTTCTCTCACTCTGAATAATTTCAACAATGAGCGAAAATTACAGTGGAGGGTGACAGAAGCCATGGAAAGGGAATGGTAATCAAAGGCAGGTTGGTTAACTGAGGACTTTTTGAAACACAGGGATGCTGTAAATGTTGCCTTTAATTTGGTCTTTTGTTGGAAAGGATGTCAGGGAGTTGAGAGGTCCTGGGAATGTAGTGGAAGCTCAAGGTCATGAAATAGCTCAATGTTCCTTCCATGGAGGGTAGGCCAGGGCTGTCAGACTGACGTAGTAGAAAGATCCCTGGGAGCCCCCAGTTCTCTCCAGGGCAACCTGAGATCCAACCTGTCTTTCAATGAATGATGTTATTTGCCTTCTTCATTCTCAACCTCTTAGGAAGGTGCATGGTAGCACAAAGGAAGGAGACGCAGATAAGCGATTCCAGCGATAGGCTATTTATGCTAAATCATAAGGGGGCTATTGTTACTTTGAAATGAAACACATGCATTTTCTAGTTTCCATTTGAAAGACTGTAAACATGAGTAGCAATGACCCACATAAACAAAAGCACTTTCGGGTCCTTACGGGTTTTTCCGAGCAGAGAATGCCTGTGTTACACGCTGGGGCTGCAGCGGTGAACACGACGCTCAGCCCTTCTCTCACCAAGCTGCTGTGAATGAACCACATGGCAGCCACGATTTCAGCAGGAAAAGACCGCACTGGGGAAGGACAGAGTTCTCAGAGCACAGGGAGCTTCAGCCCCAGATTTGGAAGGAGGGTCTCCAGGAGAGGTTTCAGAAAGAAAAGAAAGGCCACCGCTTCATCAGTTCTTTGGACCTCACTCCTAGCAGCCTCCCACTGTTCATTCATTCTCCCACCTCCGAGTTCCTTGTCTTGCTTCTGATTGGATGCTTCCTTATCAGCACTTACATCCATCCAAACTCAGCTCAATGGCAGTGAGTGGAGTTTGGGGAAGCGTCTTCCATGAATGAAGGACAGAATTCCAAACCCTTCAACCCCAATCCCCATCTAGCTACTTCCATCTATCTTTCCCTCCATCCAGCTGACTATTTAAAGCACGTTTTCACTTCACTGTCTCCATTTTCCCCCCCTTTCTGCTCTCTTCAACTACTCATTATTGCTTTTGTGAAAATTAACAGTGGGGTTTCTGTCACTACTTACCGTTTTTATACGACTTGATGTCTCTCTTTTTTCTAACAGTAAACGACATACTCGTAGGACTGACATATTCAGTTCAATAGTTCATTCGCATTAAAAAGGACAACTTGATTTCCTAACAACATTTACTACATTTGATCAGTGCCGTCTCCCTGAAACATTTTCCTTGATTGCTTCTGGAATACCCAGTCTGCTGACGTTCGTGCCACCTCTCTAGTCTCTCACAATCTTTTGAGCCCATTCTTCCTCTTGCACCCACTTGTTAGTTGGGGTTCCCAAGGCTTAGATACAGAGATTCTTCCCAGAGATGCTCTCATCTGAACCCATGGCTTTGATCTAAATGACTTATAAATGTCCACCCCCGCTCTGCCCTCTCCGGTGAGTCGCCAATGATCTATTTTACACTTCCCTTTGAAGTTCGTACAAGGATGTCAAAATAGTATGTACAAATCTGAACTCCTGATCTGCCCTTTCCAAAACGATTCTATGTTAGAAACTCTCGCCCAGCAGCTCATGTTGCCCACGGTAAGTGTCGGGGTCACTGATGAACCTCCTCTCTCCACCACTCATACTCACTCTGTCCAATTGATTTTACTGGTTACATCGCTCTCCCATTTGTCCTTTGTCCCATCTACACACCAGGATACCGCTGTCAGCACTTGCCTTTACTTACCTAGGACCTCTTCGACTGCTTTCCCCATACAACAGCCAAAGCGATCTTTCAAAATTTCAAATATGGTTATTATTTTCCCTGGCTGAAAATGCTTTAATGGGTCCCCATCATCTGGGTAAAAAGATCTATAGTAAAGGTCCATCAATCTCTGGCCTTCACCTACCTTTTCAGATTCATACTTTGGCACGAGGCTAAAGCTGTGATGAACTTCCAATCGCCCACAGTCTAGGCAATTGGGATTGTTCACACCCGCCCCCCCACCCCCCGAAAGTCCCATGTCCTACAAAGCTACCTGCTTATGCATATGATGTTTCCTTTGCCAAAAATTGCTGCTCCGTGTGCCATTCCTTCCCTATTCCCAATCCCCGATCAGGCCTATTTAGAACTCAAGCTTTAGTCCAAGAGTGCTCTTTGGAGAAGTCGTTCTGAACGTCCCCCTCGGCCTACTTCTCTGTTCTCTGCTAGACTCCCAGAACCCATTCTTAGGTCTCGAGTCCATAGGACCATCTTCACGGTCTATTGCTAATTGTATTGATGTAGCCATCTGTCTCCTCCACTTGACTTAAAGTTCCTCAGAGGTAAGTGTTTAGCCATCTCTGCATCCCAGGATCTAGTTCAGTGCCAGGGGTTCCCAACACAAGTTTTGTGAAACAATACAAGTGAGGGCAAGGGATGTCCAGGACAGTGAGTTTTAGCAATAAAACAAAGGAGTCAAAGAAATGCTTTATGCTTCTGCCAAGCTCTTGGGTAATATGAGATCAGTGGTTCTCAGCCTTCCTAATGCTGTGACCTTCATGTGGTGGTGACCCCCAACCATAAAATTATTTTGTTGCTACTTCATAACTGTAATTTTGCTACTGTTATGAATCGGGCGGCCCCTGTGAAAGGATTGTTCGACCCCCAAAGGGGTTGTGACCCATAGGTAGAGAACCGCTGTGCTAGATGGTGAACTTGTAATTTCCCTTTCCTGTTTATGACTTGCACCCTGCGTTTTCCTTGGACTCCCCTAAATACATTTGTGAGTCAGGATGGACTCTTGCTGGCGCTGCTCAGGACTCACGGGGCAGGGAGTTCCTTTCCATGCAAGACCAAAGTGAAGGGGCTCCACCCCTGGGCAAGGCTCACAAATCCCCCAGGTGACAGGTGTACTCTAGGGCCACACGGCAAGGGACAAGCAACTGGAGAAGAGTGGACAGTGGCATTAAAGAAACAGAAATAAATCAGGAGAAAAAAGGGGACACCATACCATCAGTTCAGGTGGAAATATAAATTCCTGAGTTGGGTCCAAGGGTTGAAATTCTTCTTTTTCATACAGTTTGGTGCAAACCTTGAGGAAAAATAAAAGGTGTTTCCATATGTTAGTCTTTTGGGTAAGAACAAGGTCAAAGGGTTATGACTGTCCTGCCCATTAACCAAGTCTGGAGTTTCTCATGCTGAAAGATCCTGGGTTAGGTGCTGGGGAGACCAGGGACTGAGAGGTGGGCCAGCCCTTCAAGTTCACTCTGGCTGAAGAAAGCTGGGCCTGATCCAGAAGGAAGCAGTTCTGACGCATCTGCTTAGAACACCCCCCTAGGTTGGGGGTGACTCCACTCGAGATGGAATGAAATGGTGCGCAGTCCTGCGCCATCCCCGTGATTGGTTGGTTGTGGACCAGAGCGTGGCGGTCTGTCGCGTTTCCACAGGCTAATTTTCAGAAGGGGAGCAGTAGGCCGTCCTCGCTCGTGCGTCTCGGTTTGGAAGTAGCTGAAACCTGTTTAGCATCATCGTAATGCATACACCTCCCCTGTCAGACAGGAAGTCGCTTTGCAGGAGGTGCACTGACGCGGGATCGAACCCGGTCTCTTACGTGGAAGACAAGAATGCTATCACTAGTGAAGTTAAATGTTAAAAAAAAAAGTGATACAAACTGCAAGCTCCGCAGGAGATCAGAGAAGCACGTGGTCGCAGAAGCTTCTTGGAAGGGGAGCAGAGAGGAGATAGCCCACAGATGCGGTGTTTGTTTGTAGTTTATGTGGCTTCGCGTTCATTCCAGTGCATAACGCCCCGCACCCGACAGAATAAAACACTACCTGCTCCAGCGTCATCCTCACAGCTGTTCGGTTTGAAACGAGTGGTGCAGCCACTGGGTCGATCCACCCCTTGCAGGGTCTCCCTCTTTTTGCTGGCCTTTTGCTGTACCAAGCTTGATGTCCTTTGTCAGGGGCTTGTCTCTCCTGAAAACATGTCCAAAGTACGGGAGATGTAGTCTCTACATTCTCATTTCTAACGCGCATTCTATTTGTGCTTCTTCCAAGACAGAGTTGTTTGTTCTTCTAGCAGTTCATGGTCATTGCCTTATTCTTCGCCGGCACTGTCATTTAAATGCATCAATTCTTCTTCAGTCTTTCTAATTTCATGTCCAACTTTCACCTGTGTACGAGGCGATTGAAAATACCGTGGCTTGGGGCTGGCGCACCTTAGTCCTCAAAGTGACGTCCTTGGCCAATGCAAGATATCATTTAAATTTTGACGGCTGCTTCCATGAGTATTAATTGTGGATCCGAGTAAAGTAAAATACTTGACGATTTCAATCTTCTCTCCGTTTGTCATGATGCAATCTGTCAGTCTGGTTCTGAGGATTTTAGTGCTCTCCACATTGAGAAACAATCCGCACTGAAGGCGGCCGTCCTTGACCTTCAAGCACAGATTTAGAAGGCCGTTACTCATGGGGCCTTAGAAAGAAACCAAGTAGATCCTCTTGACTAGAGGAGAGACTTGTAGGACACAGGGCACTTTATCATTCCTACTCACTTTGTGAGCCATCTTTTACCCAGATCATTTTTAAGGGCAATTCCAAATATCAGTTACTAGAGGGGGAAATAAGCCAACAGCTCGTGTTTACTAAGCACCTGTTCTGTGCTGGTCACTGTGTTCAGGGCTTCATCTACATGTATAATTTAATCTTTCCAACAACCTCCTGGAAGCAATAGTTGTCTCCTAGAAGAAGTTGTGGTTGGGCTGGAAGTGACAGGACTGGGACCTGAGCTGGGTCTTCTCTCACCAAAGCTGGTGGCACCAGGCTGGGCCATCTTTGACTCACAATTTACTGCAGCCCAAGCACGGAGGATCCCTTCTTTCAGGAAAACTTGGGTTTGCGGTGGTTGAGAGTCCACAGAAGGGAACAGAATCACCAAAGGAAATGGAAAGGAATAATTGTTCTGAAAACTTTCAAAAGCCCCTCTACCTCCCACCCAAGCCTGTTCAGTGCAGTGGGCTACACTGAAACCCGACAGGAAACATCGCAGCTGTAAACGGGGCCCAGAGACTTACATTAGCTTTGCTCTCATGTTCATTTTGTTTTTGGTCCAAACAACATCTCCCGTCCCTGTTCATTTGGCAGCAAGATGAACTCTAAAGAAGAAAGCAGCGATGTAAAAGTCCCAGAATCCGGTACCTTTTGTGCACACCCATACTAACAGTAATAACAGTTCCTTCCTTCTTTCTTTTCTTTTTGTAGTTCCAAAACGTACTACTTATTACTAGCGTTTCCTAATAATACTTTGTGCGTTAGCTTTGAACAAAACTCAGGGTGAATGAATGAATAATTGAATTGTAAAACTAATTCTTTGTCAATTAAACATGAAATGAAGGAAATGTAACATTGCTTGTGGCTCTTTCTTTCTTTTTTAATCATTTGATTGGGGGGCGCGTACAACTCTTATCAAAGTAACTGCAATAGAAATTCTGTAGTGGACTTGATGTGTTCTTGGTCTGATTTTTGTAATTTGCAGGCATGTTCTTGCCATCACAACCTCTATAGTTAAGAAAACAGAGGCTTAGACATTTTTTTAAATTATCTGTTTAGAAGGGAACAGGCTCAGAAATTGAAGCTGGCAGTCTGACCATGGAGTTCTCTGGTGATTACTAATAACCATAACTTCTGGATTGCCCATCACTTTCCTGACATTAGTCTCAGAGCTACATATGTACGAAGAGACCCAACCTACGCAGCAAGACCCCCAGAGGGACGGTGGGAAGCAGGCTTCCCAAGGGAGGCCTGGCACCCCTTTCAAACCAAATCAAACTGATCTGTGACTGCCCGGTGGGCTCCAAGTGACACACCCCTTCCATTGCTGAGCAGAGCTGCCCCATCATTCCGTGGGTGTGATCTGGGCAGAGGCAAACTGCTACATCATGCTCCCTCCGAGTGATGCGCGGGTTCAACCACTGGCGTTGCTGGTAGAAGCTAAGTGATGCGCGGGTTCAACCACTGGCGTTGCTGGTAGAAGCTAAGCGTTTTAACCATCGTCCCACCAGAGTTCCCTGGCATTCCTAAACTCCCCGCCATTGAGCTGATTCCAATTAAGAACCGCATCGTGCAGAGTGGAACGGCCCTGTGGGGTTTCTGAGGCTAGGGTCGTCGCAGGAGCAGAGAGCCTCGTCTTTCTCTTCCCTGGCACCCCTAGAGTCTCCTACATTAGAAACACATCCTTCTAGCCTGAGTTCCACTGGGAGATTCCTGCTTTGGAATTTGCCAACAGCGTCAGTCGGGGAGTCTGGCACACACACTTTGTTGTGTGGACCCATTGCTCTCACCAAAACCCAGACGCATCGTCACTGAGTTGGTTCCTACACATAGTGACCCTGTAGGTCGGAGTAGAGTGGCTCCGTCATGTCTCTGCCACTGTTCACTCTTTACGGGAGTAGAAAGCCTGCTCTTTCTCTTGAACCCAGGGCTCTAGTGAATGAAATTGATTCAAGAATCTTTAAATCCAGGAGGCAACTGAAAATGAAATACTGTCAGTGATGAACTCCGTTACACGTGGTTTCAATAACACGTGGTTCCAAACACATAAATAAATGCCCGAACGGAAGGCTGGCAACTCAAACCACCCAGCAGCTCTGAGCACGAGACCTGACAGTCTGCCCGCTAAAGAAGAGAGCTTACAAACCCGGACTCTCACAGGGGTCGGAAGTTAGTTCTCCAAAAAGCAGCGGACTCTCGAGTTATCGAGGTTTCCCTGGTGTGTGTGTGTGTGTGTGTGTGTGTGTGTGTGTGTGGTCGGAATCTAGTGCTCCACAGAACTTGCAGCTTGCTAGGGCTTGTAGAGACCGTAAAGGATGCACATGGCTTTCCTGTCTGCCTCGGGTCCTATAGTACTAACCAGAGGTGGCATCACATCCGGAGAGGAAGTGGGCATCGGTCTCACAAAATGCCTCGCTCTGGCCATGCCTCAGCCCACGCGCTGCTGCGATGCAGTGTGAGAAATGGACTCGTCTCTGCTCCACTCTCACAAAGCTAGATGTGAGGCAGACGGCCTCCTCTGTTTCCACGTTGAATATGCTCCTAGAGAGCCTTCACCTTCAAAACAGCCACTAAGGTGCTACCTGTCTGCATTTCTGAGAAAAATGTCTAGTCACCCTCACTGAGAAGGGTGGACTGGCAAACCGTTGTGCCTCAGAAGCACAATATTGTGTTTTCCTTGAAAACCAATTCCTCGGGAGATTTCTCATACTCACAGGGCTGAAGCTACTCCCGGCCTCCACAATGGGTCTGTAGCCAGTACAGCGGCACAGGTTACCTGGATGGGAGACACAGACAGCGAGTCAAGACAAAGGCCACTCCGTTTGCCCCGTGCGTGGCACAGCTCCTCTGTTCTAGCCAAGGCTTCATTCCTCCACGCTCCCCCACCATCGTGTTTCGAACCGGTAGTGTTTTCTAGATTGAACCAAGGCGCCCAAAGACACTGGGGACATATTTCTGGGGCTGCGTTCTGGAGAAGGGTACCGGGCAGGAAGGACCGGGGCGAGGAAACTCAGACAGTGGGTACAAGTGACAGGTCAAAGAGGTGTGCATTTGGTGAGCAGAGGCACTGCCTGCCTTGGCTGCAGACCCCATTTCCTGCGAGGTGGGCAGCCTTGCAAGATAGAAGCTACAGCTCCCTCCACAGGAATGGGTGCACACGCTACTGCCCCAGAGCAAAGGTCAGGTGGGATTACTGACCAGTGTGCAGATTTGAGTTCCCTAACCTCAGGCTCCGCTTCCTGTAATGCGCACGCAGCCATCAGCTGGTCCTCTCTGCACTGCTCTATGGCAAATAGGGCTCAGGGTACTGGTGCAAATGTTGGTACGCCCAGTCTCGCGTGGTCCACTCATGGTATTCTCCTCTTCCACATGCAAGACCCAGCTTGTTTTCGACTCTTTCTGTCTGTGAAGGCTGGTGTGTTGCTATGAGGCTGCAGAGGTTTTGGCAGAGCTTCCAGACTAAGGTGGACTAGGGGGGAAGGCTTGGCAATTACTTCAGCATATCATGGTTCACGGAGGCACTACCACATCTTTTTCCCAGAGTCACCAGGGAGGTTGACCCACTGGCTCTCTGAGCAGCTGAGGGAATAGCCACCGTTCTGCCAGGGCTCCCTTTCAAACAGATGACCTGGGTTCCAATCCCGAGCCGGCCAGCTACTAGCTATATAAACGTGGGCAAGATACTCAACGACTTTGTACTTCAGTGTTTTCCTTAGCACAATGACATCATCATTGAATTTACCCTAGCACTTATCATGCCTACTATAGAACAAAGCCTGGTACATACAAAGTTTTCTACAAAAGTTGTTATTGGTGTGTGTGTGTGTGTGTGTGTGTGTGGTGGGATGTCCAGATAGCCCGGCACAGACTGTGGGTGCTATGGAAGGAGTAGTTGCTGTGGAAGGAGTAGTTGCCGTGGAAGGAGTAGTTGCCGTGGAAGGAG